AGCCGGGATACCAGGTTGATCTTCAAGAAAAACATCCAGGAACTCTCGTACTACGGGGATTGCATCAACGGTAGGGGCTTCTTTTTGGGTATCGATCACATAACAAATATAACCACCATAACCCTTTCTTAGAAGTCGTTGGGCTGTCATGGAGGATATAATACAGAGAGGGTTGGAAACTTTAGTCCCATCAAAGACAAGCTCGGGTTGGTTTGGTAACTTGAGGGAGACCTTTTTGGCTTTACAATCAATAGAGGCGTGGTTGGCAGCCAGCCAATCCATACCTAGGATCATATCAAAGTTCCCAATGCGAAGGGGAAGCAAGTCTACGTATAAGGTTTTGCCTTTTAGGAATATAGCACAAGATCTGTACACATCAGTACTACAGGCAGACTTACTAGAAGGAAAAGACACAGACAATATATATCTTAATGGTTCGGGTGTTGATGCCAACTTGGCAGCAAAGTGTGGTGCAACAAAAGAATGAGGTTACCTAGAGTCAATGAGGACATGAGCTAAATGACCACAGACAGAAAGTGTACCTGACACAATGTTTTCGGTAACTTTTAGTTTTCCAGGTACACAGGTGAAAACCGGTCCTTGACGTTTTTGGTACACAGGTGAAAGCCCATCCTTGGCGTTTTTGGTCCTTCCTCTCTCCTCTAGGTCTTGCGGGTTTTCTGACTAAGCCAAAGGGGCTGGCTATAGAATTAGTCAACTTTGGACAATCCCTCAGCAAATGACCAACCTGACCGCATTTAAAACATGCTCCCACGTCTCGATGGCGTTGTCCTCAATGAGCCTTCCCACAAGTGGAACAAATTGGAACAGTGCCACCTCGGGGGTTAGTAGGACCTTGATGGCCTGAACTGGTTGTGTCCGTATTCACCTTTTTAGGAGGTGCAACACCGGATCTTCTGTTGTCTTTTTTCTAGAATCGTTTCTTTTGGCTTAGTTCCCTGGAACTGGAGGCTTTAATCCCCTTTTCTGTAATGTACGCCTGGTCTACCATTTCTGCATAGGTTGGTAGTTTCAAGACCTCAAGTCTATCTCTAATTTCAACATCTAATCTTGCTTCAAATTTTCTTGCTTTTCGAGTTTCGGTGAGGATGACGTATGTTGCAAATCGGCGAGTTGTGTGAACTTGCTCTCATATTCGGCCATCGTCATGGTTCCTTGCTTTAGATGTATGAATTCTAATGCCTTATGTTCCCGCAATGAATCGTATAATACTTCCAAGAATCTTGCCCAAGTCGCCAAGTCGCCATTTCTTCTTTCTCTAGAGTGAGAAGCCACCATTCCTGTGCATTGTCTTTGAAGGTGAAAGTGGCGAAAGTTACCTTCTGTCTTTCGGTGCAGGGTAAGGCGCGAGAAATCTTTTCCATGTCTTTAACCCAAGCATTTGCTACCTTGGGTCTGGGCCGCCGGAAAATGTGATGGGTTTCAGATCCTGGAACTGTTTTATGGTAACCGGCTCTTCTCGCCGTTCCGGCATCCCATTGATGATGTTAGTCTGCAAGGCTTGCAAAAAGTTAGTAACCGTTCTTTCCATTATTCTTTCCATCGATTCTGTGCCACTGACTGATGACTCGCTTCCGTTACCATTATTGACCATTCTACAAAGTAATAAACGAGGCATTATGTAATAACTCATATTCATGTTTTAGTCATGTTCATGTGCATTTACATGATTTCGTCTTGTTAAGCTTGCATTTGTAGACTTAGACTTGTTTTGCCTAAGTAAAAGTCCGTGTCTTGTTTTGTGCTTATGTGATTTGCCTAAGTGTTGTATGCATGCTTTGTTCCTTCCTTGCTGTCCCAAGCCTAGGTCATGTCAAGCCTAGGTCATGTTAAGCCTAGGTCACACCTTTGAACCTCTTACACCTAAGACCATCTTGAAACCACTTTGGTTGACCTCCACCTTCACCCTTGCATATTGGCCGAGATGTAATCATCTAGGCCGAGGTGTGCACCACCTAGGCCGAGATGTGCATCATCTAGGCCGAGATGTTATCATCTAGGTGTCGTAGATCCTTGATCCTTGACCCTTGATCCTTGACCCTTGATCCTTGCATCTAGTGATCTTGTTCCGGGACTGGTATGACCTAGACCAAGGTGTGGCATATATAGGCCGAGGTGTGGCACAGCTAGGTCAAGTGTTATCCTTCCTATCCGAGATCATTGAGACCTTACTTGCCGAAGCCTATGTCCTAATCCGAGATCATTACCTGCCGAAGTGTCCATGTCACCTTACTTGTTGTACACCCTTTGTCATGCTTTTGTCTTGTCAGTTAGTCACCTTTTTTAGAAGAGTCAACCTGCTATTGCCACGTGTCCCAGCAAAGGGTTAAGTTAGCCGGCAGAGAGAGAAAACATATCATTTTGTCATATCTTTGTTCTAAGAAGAGAGAGAGGCTCTAGGAAGAAGATGAGGAGTTCTTGAGAGAGAAGTAGATTTCCAAGCTTGATCCTTAGAGTTTAAACTGTTTGATCCGTGTTTTGAGGTTAGATCCTTGATCTACCTTTGTTGTTCTTTATGTTGATCCGATCGCATTGCATGATCTAGTATGATTCATGAGCCATGCATTGATTTAAAGTTTGGTTTTAGAAAGAGAAAATGATGTTCTTGTGTTCTTGAAGAAAAATCATGTTTTGATCCGAAAGTTTGTATCAAGATCCATGTTTTTATGTTTGTTTTCATAAGATCTTCAAGTATGGGTACCCAGGTCCATGTTTTCAAACTCATCTCATGAAATCTCAGATTTTGAATAAAGAAGTTATGATTTCAACATTCATGTTCTTCATGTTCTTCAATGGAGGAAACCTAGATTTCCAGACTTTACCTTTCCCTGGGTGTGGTCACCGAGACCACTCTTGCCTAGATCTCACACCTAGGCCAAGCATTGTGTCTCACCTCTACCTTACATGATCACTTGCACCATTAGTCTATCTCGCATGCACACCTAGGCTAACCACTGCACAACTAGGCCGACCATGGTACACCCTTGCCAGTACCTTGTAGCACCTCGGCAAACAGCAGCACACCGAAGCCTAGGTAACCACACCTTAGCCAAGAGGTGTGGGACCTCGGCCAAGACCTCCTGGGTTCACCCAGTTAAGTCATTTTTGCCTAGATCATTTCTGTGCATCCATTCCAAGACCTGGTTAGTACCCAACATGTTTTCCTTAGATAAAAAACAGTGATTTAACTCCCAGCATGTTTTACTTTGTCTTGACTTGGTTTTGGAAAGAAATGCCGGGATCATTTTCATTCATGTAACGCTTATTTTAAGAATGCATTTCATATCCATCTTTGAGCATCTCTTCTTGAAGTGCATTCAATGGGATTTATTATGTACTTGTAGGTCTTGGATTGCTTTAATCCCTACACCCGAAGAGCTATGTGAGTGGTATTTTTAATAAAGCTATGTTATAAAGTTTTTATAAAGCTTTGCTTCATTTTGGAAAAGTATTTGTTCAAGTATGAATGATTATCCTTAGTTTTGTATCGAGTATTATCTTGTTTTGATGACATTCTTGGGAAGTCCTTTCATGCTAGGGGACTATAAGCCCATGTAGCACCATGTTTGAGAGATCTCTACCATCAACGGTCTTGTACGGATGGCCCCACTGACGGCCTTGTGCGGGTAGATTTGCCTAATCGATTCCGGGTCAATTATTCCCTTGTTTTGTCCAAAATGTCATCCCTCATGTATTATGTAGATGTTATTAAACATCCCAAGAAGATTTGAAAGATTTGATTGATGAACTTGATTCATCCCGTGTTTTGTTACAAGCTATGATATGTATTGTTTTGATAAAAATCTCGGATATCATTCATTCAAACCTTTATTGATTATATCATTCACTGAGTATCCAAGCTCACCCTCCCCTTTATATATATGTAGGTGGCGAGCAAGAAGGCAGTGACGCCTAAGATGTTATGTGCAAGATGTTTTGATTTATGTTTTGTATCATCTTGAAGATTATGTTTCTTAGTTTTAATTCACTTCTTTTGTATATGTTGACTTGAGAAGCCTTTTGATCAAGATATAATATGTACTTTATTTTATTTGTATCCAAGTTGTAAAACCATGTTAAGATGTATGTCATTTCATTTGATCTATGTACAGCTCTTATGGACTACTTAGATTTAAATTTATTGCTTCCGCACATGTAAGCCCTATATGTATACTTTGATTATGTGTGAATCTTTGTAAGTTGGCCTTTGGTAATCTCGGATTACTGGCTATCACGGCACCATTCTACTAGGGGTGGAATGGGGTCGTGACAAAATGGTATCAGAGCACCGGTTCCTTGTAGTACGTTATTCACACACACTTGAGTCATAAAAAGCATAGGATTTCCCTTAGAATGATATTAGGATTGCATCATATTGCTTGCTACTTGACAAGATATGCATCACCTTGGCATGATCATTTATTACTTGCATACATGTCTATTTGCTCATTTTGTTTTAAGAGTCACATTTTGCATACCTCTAGCATCATGAGAGGGGGTAGACCTCCAGTGGGCCACGATCAATTCGAGGACAGGTTAGACAAATTAGAAAGGATGGTAGAGGGTTTGGCCCATGAGTTGAGGCAAACAAGGCAATAGAACACTAGTACTACATCTACTCAGGCTGAGCAGACGGATGACTGACATGCAGTTCTGCCTCCACCTCCTCCAGTACCACAAATGCCTTCGCAACCAGCTTTGTATGGGGATGGCACATTGACTTTGATCAAAGAATTCAAGAAGATGAATTCGACGAAATTCCATTGAGGTATAGAACCAATGAAGGCCGAAGCATGGGTTCTTGAGATGGAGAAGTTGTTTGAGATCTTTCCCAGCACCGACGCTCAGAAGGTGTCAATGGCAGCATTCACACTAGACGACGATGCTCGTAGGTGGTGGATGATGATCCGAGAAGGCAATCCAGGTTTGACTTGGGCCAAATTTTTGGAGTTGTTTTATGACAAACACTTTCCCCTCAGTGTCCGAGATCGCAAGACCACAGAATTCCAAACTTTGACACAGGGTAGCAAAACAGTGGCTGAATATGATCGTGATTTCACCGAGTTGGCAAGGTATGCACCTCATATGGTCAATAACGAGTACAGGAAAGCTAGGAAGTTTGAGAGTGGACTTCGGGGACGAATACAAGATCGGGTTAATATGCTTAATATGCCGACTTATACCAGAGTGTTAGATAAAGCCATCCTGGCAGAAGCTAACTTGAACAAATACCAGAGTTCAGGGGAGAATCAAAGAAAGAGGCAGGATTATGACAATCGCCAAGCACCGTCTAATGTCAATAAGAAGGTAAGTGTGGGAAATTCAAGCAACTCAAATCAGGAAAGTGGCACCAGGCTGACATGTACAAGTTGCGGGATGCGACATTTTGGAGTTTGTCATCAGGCATCTGGGGTATGCTTTGAGTGCGGTGAGATGGGGCATCATATTAAGGATTGTCCCAAGGTAAAGGCTAAAGATGGTAAGAAGAGATGAGAATCCAACATTCAGAATTGTTTTGGGGCAAGGTAACTTAAGTTTGGGGACCAAACTTCTTTAAGGAGGGTAGACTGTAATAACCTACATTCATGTCTTAGTCATGTTCATGTGCATTTGCATGATTTCGTCTTGTGAAGCTTGCATTTGTAGACTTAGACTTGTTTTGCCTAGGTAAAAGTCCCTGTCTTGTTTTGTGCTTATGTGATTTGCCTAAGTGTTGTATGCATGCTTTGTTCCTTCATTGCTGTCTCAAGCCTAGGTCATGCCAAGCCTAAGTCACACCTTTGAACCTCTTACACCTAGGACCATCTTGGAACCACTTTGGTTGACCTCCACCTTCACCCTAGCATATTGGCCTAGATGTAATCATCTAGGCCGAGGTGTGCACCACCTAGGCCGAGATGTGCATCATCTAGGCCGAGATGTTATCATCTAGGCGTCGTAGATCCTTGATCCTTGCACTTAGTGATCTTGTTCCGGGATTAGTATGACCTAGACCGAGGTGTGGCACATCTAGGCCGAGGTGTGGCACAGCTAAGTCAAGTGTTATCCTTCCTAGCCGAGATCATTGAGACCTTACTTGCTGAAGCCTATGTCCTAATTCGAGATCATTACTTGCCGGAATGCCCATGTCACCTTACTTGCTGTGCACCCTTTGTTATGCTCTTGTCTTGTCAGTCAGTCACCTTTTTTAGGAGAGCCAACCAGCCGTTGCCACGTGTCTCAGCAGAGGGTTAAGTCAGCCGGCAGAGAGAGAAAACATATCATTTTGTCATATCTTTGTTCTAAGAAGAGAGAGAGGCTCTAGGAAGAAGATGAGGAGTTCTTGAGAGAAGTAGATTTCCAAGCTTGATCCTTAGAGTTTAAACCGTTTGATCCGTGTTTTGAGGTTAGATTCTTGATCTACCCTTGTTGTTCTTTATGTTGATCTGATCGCATTGCATGATCTAGCATGATTCATGAGCCATGCATTGATTTAAAGTTTGGTTTTAGAAAGAGAAAATGATGTTCTTGTGTTCTTGAAGAAAAACTATGTTTTGATCCGAAAGTTTGTATGAAGATCTATGTTTTTGTGTTTGTTTTCATAAGATCTTCAAGTATGAGTACCCAGGTCCATGTTTTCAAACTTATCTCATGAAATCTCAGATTTTGAATAAAGAAGTTGTACGGGAAAGAAATAAACCTTCTCGTATAATCCTGTTGATCAAGTCTGCGCTCCTCCGTACGTTGTCGCTTTATCACCTGAAATCACAAACGTGAGCTAGCCGGCGGGTGTGCGTCGGAAACCTCTCCGATGCCTAAGTCAGTAAGCTTGACAAATAGACAAAAGCTCTGTGTATTCTGAAAGCAAAGTTGTGTGTTACCTCTCCAAAGGTGATGTTTGTGAGCTTTTATAGGTTTCGTGTGGCATAATCCTAGTAGGACTTCTACTCCTCCATGCAGAGTCCTCCTAGGATTCATACTCCTGAAAGATAATGCTTATCCTCCAACACCCCCCTCACTGCTTAAATCAAGTGAGATGGTTATTAACATGGTCGAACTCCCACATGACCGAAGTAATCATGGTTATGCTGAGCCACAGAGTAAGCCGTACTATTCTTAGTTCAGTTCTTCCTTCTCCTCTTTAGCTCGGTTCTCTCATGTACAAACCATGGTATGTTTAGACCGAGCTACCGAGTAGCAAGGTTCTGACCGTTCTAACCACAATACGCCATGACCGGACTAACTCTGAGACCGGCCTAACTCCAAGTCGCTTCCGGACCGAAGTAACTTTACATTCCTCGGCCGGAGTAATTTTGTACCTCTCTCGGGCCGGAGTAACTTCACGGCCTTTTTACCCAGCCCTTCGTACTTTGGGCCATAATGACCATCTCATAGCTCGGCCCAATTTTCACAAAAATTACCCTCTCAGAAGTTATGTTTCAACATTCATGTTCTTCATGTTCATGTTCTTCATGTTCTTCAAGGGAGGAAACCTAGATTTCCAGACTTCACCTTTCTCTAGGTGTGGTCACCGAGACCACTCTTGCCTAGATCTCACACCTAGGCCAAGCTTCGTATCTCACCTTGGCCTACCTTGCATGATCACTTACACCATTAGTCTATCTCGCATGCACACCTAGGCTAACCACTGCACACCTAGGCCGACCATGGTACACCCTTGCCGGCACCTTGTAGCACCTCGGCAGGCAGCAGCACACCGAAGCCTAGGTAACCACACCTCGGCCAAGAGGTGTGGGACCTCGGCCAAGACCTCCCGGGTTCACCCAGCTAAGTCATTTTTGCCTAGATCATTTTTGTGCATCCATTCCAAGACCTGGTTAGTACCCAACATGTTTTCCCTAGATGAAAAGTAGTGATTTAACTCCCAGCATGTTTTACTTTGTCTTGACTTGGTTTTAGAAAGAAATGCCGGGATCATTTTCATTTATGTAAAGCTTGTTTTAAGGATGCATTGCACAACCATCTTTAAGCATTCCTTCTTGTCTTCTTGAAGTGCATTCAGTAGACTTTATTATGTATTTGTAGGTTTTGGATCCTTGCTTTAATCCCTACACCCGAAGAGCTATGTGAGTGGTATTTTTAATAAAGCTATGTTATAATGTTTTGATAAAAGCTTTGATTTGCTTTGCTTTGGAAAAGTATTTGATCAAGCATGAATGATTATCCTCTAATTTTTGTATCAAATATTATGTTTGTTTTGATGACATTCTTGGAAAGTCCTTAGTGCTAGGGGACTATAATGCAACTAGTACCCTTGTTTGAAATTCTCTTACCTGTAGTAATAATGGACTCCCTGCTAATCTGGTCGTCTCATGACGATAAAAGGCGTCTAAGCCCATCAACGTCTCAGCCAGAGTCATGGCAATACAG